TTCCTTTAGGTCCCTTTACTCCCTGTGGCCCAGGTGGTCCATGTTTACCTGGGGGCCCTCTTTGACCAGGTCTGCCTCGTCTTCCCCTGATGCTCTTGGGGCAATGAACACTGCAGGCCTGGCTCTTGATTACAAGTCGTACTTCTTTTCTGATCGCTTCACGATCGATGGTCACACTGCCGTTCAATCTCCTGTCTGTAGCTTTCACGTGCCGTTTGTAACGAATTTTTGGTTCTGCGAGAAACTTCACAGAATTAGTTCGGCGAAGTTCCATTCATTTTATTAGACCACTTGGAAAATACTCAGAGCCCGTTTTAAAACGAAGCTAAGTGCGAGGCCCTCATACGGAAATGGATATTTATTACCATGAACAAGGCCTCATTTTGAAAGCCGGGTCATTTCGAACTCAAATTCAAGTTGGCTCGATTTCCAGCAGCTGTCTAAGAAATGAGTGAACTCCACAAAACGACAGAAATTGAGTCGAAACCAGAGATTAGTTGCGATAACGGCGATAATTCGATTTGTTGGTTGTGATACTTGACTTTTTTCCGTGTGTCTCTTAAGGTTTTATTTATCTTCTCATGTGAAAATTATTCTAAAAAAACGATTTTGTTCAAAGTATTTTTAACTGTTTCAAAGCTGTAATCCCCAGCGTATTAATTTTCCCCTGAAACTTCCTTTATTTTACTCCTGTTGTGAATTCCATCAAGAATTAGCCCCATTCCGGGCCGTTCGAGCGAAAAATAAATGAAATTTCTAGGTTGTACTTCAATAAAAGTACCCATTAGACGACAAAAGATAACTTCAATTCGTAAAACAGCTTTTGCGCATGGAATGTCATGTTTTGAAATCAAACTGAAACGACACGAAACAGAACCAGACAAATCGTCATCTGAGTAAAGTAGCATGTGACTCTTTGATTGTTGATTGATGTGTTGAGGCTGACCTAGTGAATCTTTACACCATTAAAAAACACAAAAAACACAATTGCTTGGGTCGACAGCTCTTTACTTTAAGCTATAGAGGTATTCAAGAAACAACGAGGAGACGAACGTTTAAACGAATTTCAAATGAAAACTTTCCACATTACAAATCGGACTTCCCAACTTTTTGAACGTTACTCAGGATCTGCATCAACCAATTTTAGTTAGAGGTCGTTCTACCGTTCTAAGTGTTTTGCACTTAAACTCACCTTTATGCGAGTAAGGGAATAACATGATCATCTCATTCGTTTTTTCGTCGTTTTCTGTGTTCCTCAGCTCGACTTTCTCTTCTTTTGGTTGACTCAAGGCTTGAAGCATTTGTCGATGAGCGTAAAGTTCGATCTCGACATGAATCAGTCCCGCGAAGCAAATAACGAAGAGAAATAAGGATGAAAACACCAGCTTGTTATCAACTGGGGTCATCTTTGATCTCTCCATAACACTGTCTGCCTTGGCGAGGTTGTGAAAAAGCAAAGTCTTTGTTTTACGAAAACTATATAAGCCTGGGCCTATGTAATTACAAGGGAGGCATAAATACG